AACAGCTGTCCACAGGATGATCGACCTGTAAAAACACTGTATTAAAGCTACAATGGAAAAATATTAAGAGAAACATAAAATAATCTCTCTTTTCATCTCATTCAAGCTGAGAGGCCAGCAGCTTGTGTCTGTGGTTTGTGCATCCCTGTTGTGGATGAGCAGTGTGCGAAGCAAACTGCCACTAGTCTGCGTTCACTGTTTTGAGATCAGTTACTAACTGTGGTTCATATGGAAACACAGCAAGTAAAACAGCATCAGTGAGTTTCACTTGATGACTTGACTTGTGCAACTGGCTTGAAGTGTTTGATGGTGTCACCACATCCTCATTAAGTTGATGAAGGCTCCTGTTCTAGCATCCATGTGTGAGACATTGAGTACATGGCTGTCATGTAGCCAAAACAGGCAACAGGTTGGTCCATCTGATCTTATAGTCTCGAGCAACTGCTCTGTCTACTAGTAGGTCTGTGTCTTGCCATGTGCCTGTTCATGCTAGCTCCTATGATGCCTGGCAGGAGCATCCATGTGGTGATGAGACATATTATTGGTCGGTAGTTGGATGGGATTAATCCTTAAGAATCATGTGGTGGTTCATTTATGCTTCCAGGTACTCAAGGAGTGCAGTTAGCTTCTTTAGCCAGTAGGTGCGAATCGTGTCAGGGCATGTGCTGTCCAACTCGTCAGCTCTTCATTATCGAAAGGATTGTCCAGAAAATCATAATCCATAAAGATATATTGAATAACAAGTCTATATAAAGTGATGAGAGAATTAAATTTTTGCTTGCTAATAAACATTTTGTTTACAGCCAGCAAGTGAAGTCAGACTTGAACTGCTCTTACTGTTGGGAACACATTTCCTGGAGTCATTAGTCTGTTTGTATCCATTCACACAGCTGCAAGTCCTCGACAGGCCGTCACTGCTCTCCGTACAATCGTGGTCACAGCCGCCATTATCCACGGAGCAGTTGGTGGCTGCTACAGCTAGATGGAGATGGGAAACAGGAACACGGGAACTTTTCAGGTTTCACATTAAGTTTTAGTGAATGTTACATTGATGTGACTCCGCCTGTAAAAGAAATCAAACAGCAGCTACGTCCAGCTGCCAGACAAAGTCTCGCTAACAAGTTTTAGCAAAAAAATAACCCTCGTAAATACTTTGTTATGTTTGTGTGCTCAGTGGGTAATTTGTATTCTTTTTGTTGATTCTCAAGGTTTAATTAAAGATGTGGTTTGTTGCTTGATGCAGTTTCACTATATTGAACACTCCTTGCTTCACTTTTGTAGTCTTTTTTTAATATAACGTTAGAAATGCTCCTAGGTAACCAAAGACACTGACTCACGATATTCACAGTATTTGCCCTCATATCCAGAGTGACAGCGGCAAGCGTAGGCTTGGAGCATATCCACACAGTCTCCATGACTGCACTTGTTGGACTCACACTGGTTCCCATCTGAAATACAGTCAGATAACTTGAGTATTTTTCCCATGACTATCTGCAAAGAAAGAAGATGTCAAAAGCCTCGCCTTAGTGACGGAGGAAGACAGAAGCAGGCTAAATCGTATTTGATGTCGTATTGTTGTAAATGTACTGTAATCTTGTGCTTTTGGGTAATCAGGCACGCATATCACACCCCATCCCAAGAAATAAACGATGCAGCCTGTGAAGAACCTTGTCCTGAATTCTCCTCAGTCTACACATCATTCACATTCCAATCATCAGAAATATTAAAATAATATTTAATAATTTATACATGGTATTATTTTTAAAGCTGATATTTAGTATGTTTTCACTGTCAAGCTGAACAAACTTGTCTTACCTAAGTAAACTGTCCAAAACTCCAGCTGTAAAGACACAGAAACAAACATCACCAATCGCACTCATCTGGTCATCGCTGCAGAACAACACACACACACCTCCTGTGGGTATTTGTCAAGTCGACACTACCCTGTCATGTTCTCATCAGCCATAAATCAAAAAGCCAGATATTTTTGCTTATTTTGATCTACGGTGTGTTAAAGAGACATCTTACCGTAGCTTCTCTGGTCTCGAAAATCTCTCTGGCCTCTTCAAAGCTGCATTTCTCTTCATTACATTCTCGCTCCAGGTTTCCTGGTTTCATCTCCTCCATGAAGGAGTTCGCCCGACGAGAGCGAAGCAGCATGTGAGCCCGTCGCGGGTCCGAGAATACTGAACACACAGAAAGAGTGAAACAGTGATGCAGACCAATGCTAAGACAACGGCTTCTTTAACTGTTTTTTCCCCAAACATCACGTTTTTGGAAAGCACTTTGTTGTCATTTGGACTTAAATCTTTGGGATTCTGTGAATTTACTCTCATCAATTCATGTGATTCCCGTGTGTTGTATGCATGCCTGGAAAATGCTCCTAATGAGACGACAAATGGAGAGATCTGGACCAGGACATCAGCGAGCATCCGGACAGTCTGAGGTGACTGAAGCATCTCCCAGAGGAGAGAGAATTATATTATATTATATTATATTATATTATATTATATTATATTATATTATATTATATTATATTATATTACCAGTCCGTGAGTCGTTTGGTACCGGGCCACGAGAGTTGAGGCTCAGGTGTGAAATGTCTGGTTTTCAGGGTTTTTATCGGTTTTCAGCGTTATTTTGTTATCGTTTT